ATCCATTGGTGGGATTAAGACAACAAACCTGATCAACACATCAAAGAGCAGAGCACAATCTTTGGGTTGAGTTGGTTGTGTCCACAAAAATCTAAATATTGATCGATTTGATCGATGCCGGAAAGGAGAAAAATAACACGTGTCTGATGCAACCAATATACTTCAAAGCACCGATCTTTAATATAACTTATATAGGCTCATCGATTCATCGACCAATCATATCACACACGAGAGAGTTATTGCTCTTAAAGATAGATCAAATTCACCATAACTTTACCAAACAACCGATTTTTTTTAAGTTCTCGATAAAAATGAACTTACAAATTTATCGATTAGTTCTCAATCAATCACAATATCTATAATTTTTTAGGTAAAAAAAACTGCATAATTCTCTTAAAAAAACGTTACTTTGACAATCCCAAGTCCACCTCCCAAATATTTTTCCAAAACCTCAAAAACGCAAATTAGGAAATAAAGTTAATTGATATTATTCTCCCACGAGGAGTTACCAAGGAATCACGAAATAAAAAGGAAAGAAGCCAATGAATAAAATGACCTGATTTTGGTAAATAATTGAAACAAAATAATCATATTACCAAATAAGCAAAAAATGGACCCACACAAAACATTACCAGTACTCGAAATCCCCATTTTGCCCTCCCCTCTTCCCACAAATCCCTAAAACCCTCCACTTCCTTACGTATATAAATAAATCCCCTTTCTCCTCCATTCTCCTTCCCCCTTCCCTTCCATTTCCTTCCTTCACTTTCTCCTCCGTTGTCTGGATTCCCTTTCTCTCGCGAAATTCAGCTTCCGCGCTCTTTTCTTTCGTAGCTGCGGCGGCGCTGCTCACTCTCGCTGAGTCTCACTCCGATCATCATCCTCTGATCTCCTCCGCGCTCTCGATCAGCCGGTCGCCGAAACCGCCGGGTGAGTCCTTCTTCCTTCTCCGCTCTCATTGCGCAATTCTCTTCAATTTCATTTTGATTCATTGCATGCTCGAAATCGATGCCTGTCTAATTCCTATTCCGGCGATAGCCGGAGGTTCATTTTTTTCGTTCGCGGCTGCGGGAATTCAAAACTCCGGCCACCGCTCGAGCAGGGCGTCACGATTAGCTAATTATTTCTTTTTTTTTATTTTCGTCTATTATTTTCCTCGAATTTAAATTTCTGTGCCATTTCCGCGAGTGGTAGAGTAGTAAAGTCCGCCGAGAAACAGTGCGAATAAAACGAAAAATCAGTTATGGTTCGTTTCTTGTTGTTTTTTCCCTCCTAGGAGATCCTTTCCATGAAGGAGATTTACCACGCGTGTTCCACGCGCGTGTGGATCCACCTCTGGTCTCAGCAGTGGAGGAGTTGGCTCCACGCGCTCTCGTGCTAGTTTTGAGCTCCTTATTACGTTATTTTCTCATAAGTTAACTATATTTATTACTCGCTGAGCGGTTTTTTACTTTTTACTTTCCGAAACGGGAGTTACGACGACGATTTACTACCGTCGTCCACGTGTCGGCGGGGACGGGCCCATGAGTTGACTGGGCCTGTCATTGTTTTCAGGCCCAACCGACACTGGGGGAGAATGGAACAAGTAGTTAAAAGTCGTTTCGTTGGATCCAATGGAGAACCCGGGAGACCAGCTGCCTTTTCCATTTCCTCAGTTGATCCAACGGAGGAAAACTGATGGAAATGGCCAGATGGGGAGGAGTTGAATGACACGTGGACGGCACAGATTCTGGTGGGTCCACCGACCAAGTGACCGTTTCGGTTAAATTAGTCAAGAAAAAAAAATTAGGGTTGTTTTTTTGTTGGGATGCTTTGCCTTTGATGATGATGGGAATTGGGAGGGAGGTGTCTTTGTAAAGGAAAGACAAGAACCCAATTTGCAAAAAACTTTTCTTTGCATAGAAACGGTTGATAAACGTAAGGCCCTCTTTGGAATTTTACTTAATGCTAATCAAAACTTAACCTTACCCTACCGTCATCAAAGGTTCGTTAAACTTGTGTGTAATTTTTACGCGTTAAAAATGACGGATTGAGTTTTTCGTAACTTGTTGTCTCGATCAATTGTTTAGTGATCGTAGATTAACAATAACAACAAGAGAAGAAGAAGGCATTTAATCAAAGGGTACAATGAAATGCGTATAAAATAATGTGTTTGGGGAGACTCATTTTGGTGTTTAATAATTGATTAGGGTATTTACCAATATCATGTGGTTGTTTTGTTTAATGGACTTGTAGACAATAGACAGCCATAAGTTTCGGTTTTGTTTTATTAAGTATTGATTGTTTTATTAGTACTACTATTATATTAGTATATGCAGCAGTTGCGGTTGGTTTATGTGTTCAATTACGATTAATTAATTGATTAATTTGGTGAGAACACGTAGAAATTTGGGCCGGATCAGCTAGCTGGGCAACACGAAGCCCGATTGAGAAAAGTGTCACCCACCTAAGACATGCATTGGCTGTCTTTTTTTAAATAATTAAATCTTCGAATCAAACCTAACTAAATATTATAGTAATCTGTGTCACCTTCTAGTCACAAACTCAATTATCAATAATTATTTTGTTCTTTTTAATAACGACAATATTGGTTAAACAATAATACGAAGAGAAGAGAGTTACCTTTCCCCCACGGTGCTGTTATTGGTGGGAAGGATCAGTAATTTAATTAAGTGTTAATCATCCACCAAGTTGGAAGCTCTCCCTGACATGAAAGTTTAAACCTTTTTCTCCCCCTTTCTTTCATGGTTCGGTAACAAAATTGACATTTCCCCGTCCTCCATTGTGTCTGCTTGTGCGCAACAGTCACCACTCACTAGGAATGATAATGGGCAGGTACGCGGGCGGGTATTTCGATACCCATACCCGCTCCATGGCAGGTCGGGTCCAGGTCGGGTAATTTATCACGGGATGCGGGTCGGGGCAGGTCGACCCATTGGGTATGTAATTTATGTGAAAAACAGTAGAAATATTCGTTCTTTTCATTGAAAGACCAAGAAAGAAACCATAATATGATAAAATGTAGTTAAATTATTGAAGAAATTGAGTTTTTCACTTATTTACAACTTTATTATAGCTAAAATATAATGTAATGAGAGGAAAATCTTAAGTAATTTGACTAATATTATATGTAATTTAGGCAAGAACGGGTCGAGAATGGGGCGGGACAGGGCAGGTCGGGTCGATGAGAGGTACCCATGCTCGCTCCACCCCGCCACAAAACAGGTCAAACAGGTCGGATAAATCGGGTCATGTCGAAATTGCCATCCCTACCACTCACCACCTTTTATATGTTGGTTTTTTTTTTTTTTTTTTGGCTTAACGATAATTTAGTGTTCAAGTAAAAGTCCAAATCAAGAAGGAGAAGAAGAAACCACCCAAACAGCCAACAAGAAAGTCATTTTCACGGGTTTGTCTTTTTGATCGCCGACTCATAATCCAATCCTGATGATGAGGATTAAGCCTTTCCAATATAACCTTTGTTGGTTAAGGATCATGGTGGAAGTTTGTGTTGGAGAGGGACGTGGAAAGCTTTAAAAGTCTTCAACTTTTTTGCGGTAATGTGCTGCTGTTGGTCTTCCTTCTGCCCTTTTTATCCTCTGTGAAAAAGAAGTTCGTTTTGACAGTTATATGATGATAGGATAAGGTAGTGTTTGGTTTTTAGATAAAAGTGAACTAATTTTTTCGTGAAATTCTGTCACATCCTGTTTTTTTCAAACTCCCGATTATTAATTTATTATCTAGTCTGATTACCAACAAGAAAGTATTAGTATACACTAGTTTTAGAATGTTATCTAGGTGCAAAGAAGAGACAAATTATGAAATTAAACAAACAAATATGCTCTGTATTATAGTTTCATTCGATTATTGATGATTGATAATGTTTTGGAACATTTTGAAATACTTAAGAGAACTGTAGCTTGCTCATAAATCACTGTCAATCTGAGTAGACCGATGGATTAAGACCCTACACAACAACAGCAGCAACAACAACCCTTGCACATAATTGGCTTTTACCTAAGTTTCTGCAGCATACCCATTTGTTCTTGATGTTTAATTTGATTTGATTCTTTCAGGCCAAAGCTGTCTTAGTCATACTGATACACACAAATCTGTGTTTTCCTCTCTGTTCCCATCAACTGGTGTATGTTTTAGTTTATGTGGAGTGGATCAGTAGTGATGTGGATATTATATATTAGGGGTCTGAAAGAAGCCATTTTTTTTTTTTTGAAAATGACCCTTCTCTTGTTTAACTGTCTATCTTCAGTACCAACTACTGTGTAAAGTTTATAAAACACTTGTTGGCCTGTTGCATATGATTACATATAGTGTAAAATGGATAGGGTGGGAGAAGGAAGGAAAACAGAGGTTTGCCACAGGTTCTGCAGATTGCCATATCTGCTGATATATTTTCTCAACCTCGACTCACTGTGAACAGTGTTGGGGACAGAAACAGACAGAATGGATTAGATATAAACGTGGGTAAACCAAAAGGAGATGTGTCTTTTCTTTTGGGATATGGCGATAAAGAACACAATAACATTATCCAAACTATATATATATAGGATTTGTGTGTTGAGGGGGGATGAATTTGGTTTAATTAGCAAGTAATGATGATGGTGGAAATTTCCCTAGCCTGTTTATGCTTTAATGAAGTAAAGATTATGATGCAATGAGCAGTGGGAATTGCGGGTTGGCTTCTTTTGTCGAATTTGTGCTCAGGCGGCGGCTAATAATTGGCATTTTTTTTTTGGGTGGGATCCTTTGGTTTTTACCAGATTTGCAAGGCAAAAGAGCAAGGAGGCGGCAGTATAGGAATTCCAGTCCATATAAAACAACAACAAAAACAAGCCACTTGACAAAGTAAAATGTCCATTTCAGGTACGTGGTGGAACAAACTAAATATTCTCCAATAATGGTGGAAACAGTGGGTGGTTTCTGTCGTTGCTGTAGTAGCTGACTCTGTTTCTTTTATGTAATGTGTTGTTGGGAATGCAGGTATGTTGAAGAGAAACATCTCCAGGATTAACCAGGCAATGGGGCTTCCGCAGCGATCGTCTTCTAACAACAAACCACCGAAGCATGGCAACAACAATAGCAGCAGCGATCCGCATCCTGTAAATACGAAAACCGCACCGATTTCTGACCATGTTAGGGCCAAGAGTACTGAAGATGTACAATATAAGTCATGGGTGGTGAGTGTTGCTTTTTTTCTTCTTCCTTTTTTTGTTCACTTTGCCTTCTCATAAACTGAACTGGAAGTCTGAGAAGTTTGAATATGCTGACCGCGAACGAACTTCCAGGGGGAGCACCCGTCAGCATTGCACTCGTTTGATCAGATGATGAAGGTGGCAAAAGGGAAGAAGATCGTCGTGTTTTTAGATTACGACGGAACTCTCTCCCCTATTGTAGATGACCCTAACTCCGCCTTCATGTCCGACGAGGTAAGTGGAATAAAATGGCTCAGCATATCTGCTGGAATAAGTAAACTTCTGTATGTAAGCACATCCAGATCCATTCTAAATCTATTTCTTTCTAATCTAGATGCGTGCAGCTGTACGTGAGGTTGCTAAATGCTTTCCAACTGCTATAATCAGTGGTAGGAGTAGGGAAAAGGTAATAAAATTGTCTGACCCTTTGTACCTTTTTGGCTCTTGTTATGAACTGCTGCTTTTTTACTTCATGAATTGAAGTCCTGAAGATATACTGCTATTCTCTTTGCTCCTTTTGAAGGTCAAGGAGTTTGTACAGTTGAGTAATGTATATTATGCTGGGAGCCATGGGATGGATATCATGGCACCTCCAAGGCCAGTTAAGTCTTGCGACGGCAATACCCCAACTGTGGTAATGGACAAGAAGGGAACTGAAGTGCTCTTTCAACCTGCAAAGAGTTTTTTGCCTGCAATTCAGAAGGTAGTAATAAAAAGCTAAAAGTAGGTTACAAAAGTTCTTGAAAATGGTTTCGAAACTGCTCCGAAACTAACTATATATCTTCACTGAAATTTTCTGCAGATATTGACTGAACTAGAGGAGGAAACAGCAAAGATAAAAGGGGCCATGGTGGAGGATAATCGGTTTTGTGTCTCTGTACATTTCCGGCACGTCAAGGATGAGGTAAAACAGCACCACCTACTAGTTAAGAAGCTTAGTGTCTAAAAGCAAATAGCAGCCTAATAAATTCCAGTTTTGGTTGTTGGACTTCAGGATTATCAGATCCTGGAGGAGAAAGTTAGGTCTGTGTTGGAGAATTATGCAGGGTTTCACTTGTGCTGGGGTAAAAAGGTAAATAGCAAAAGTCTCTATTGAGCTAAAGATGTTGCTGAACGCAAAAGGATCATACTTCTAAGGTCATGCTCCTACACTTTCTATGCACAGGTTATGGAGATACGACCGACGATAGAGTGGGACAAAGGTCATGCTGTGGAGTATTTCCTAGAGACTTTAGGGCTAAGTAACTCCGATGTTCTCCCAGTCTACATCGGTGATGACCGGACAGATGAAGATGCTTTCAAGGTATTAATCAATCAAAGCCATTAGAATCTCCAGAACAGAAGAGGTTAACAACCTATACTGTAATTACGCGAATCCGTTGCTAATTGGCTTGTCTTAAAAACTACCGCAGGTAATACAACGAAGAGGACAAGGATACCCTATCGTCGTAACTTCCATCCCTAAGGAAACTAAAGCATCCTACTCCCTAATCGACCCATCCGAAGTTCTGACTTTCCTGTTACGCCTAGCGAGGTGGAGGAAATCCTCGAGTTCAAGTAGATCGCTCAACCAAATCTGGGGTGTAGCCAACTGACACCAAGCAATATAGGCAACAAAGAGTCATAGTGGAGATAAAGCTCATACATAGAAAGCAGTAGATAAGTAATCAATCCGAGTTCGGAAACTAAAAGTAACTAGAGAAGTTCCAGCTTGTAGTTTTAGCAAGAAGTCACAGCTGGAACACAGTTTTCAATTCCAGTCCTTCAAATCTCGCCCCGTGTTTTTTGGCTGGCGGCTGGGTTTGAATTTGACTGTGGAAGACTCTGAACCCTGTGGACTTTGAGAAAACCCTTGTTTTCAACCTTGGTTGTAAAGTTCCATGTTATCAAATCGTTTTCTCAAGCAAGCTTGTTTTGTTTCCTTTACGATTCAATGCAATGCTATACTACTCTTCTCATATATAAGAACAGATGGAAATTCAAAGCAAGCAACATCAATGGATCAAATTCAGTTGTCAGGGAGAATCGAATTACCTTTTCAGTTCCTTGTTATTCCACAAGTCCTCCATCCCAAGTTCCCGAATACTCACAATTCTTCAACAGAAAAATGAACTGCTGGAGCTTGCAGTTCCGATCTGCATGCTGGTAACAGCGGGAAAAACCATCCTCACTTGGCGTTTGGCCGCTGGGAAAATTCTGGAAAACGCCACAAGAGTAAACACCAATCAGTCCCGAAAGCAAGAACAATCGGTCGGTCATCCAATTAGAACGCTCTTAGAAAGGAAATCTCACAAAACGATCGGAGAAGACAGAGCGATCGGCTGCAACAAACCTGGGTAAAGCAGCTGCCCGCCGGATCAAGAGGATTTCCATCTCTCACGATCAACTGAAGTCCAGCTTCGCCGGCGAACGGGAGCAGCAGCCGGTAGGAAAAAGCTTGAGAGGAATGAGCTAGCGGTTTACATTAAGGATGAGCAATGAAAGCAGAGGTGGAGATCGACAGAGCTGAAGAAAGTCGGAGATAGTTGACGCCACGTAGATGGCCGTCGAAGCCCACCGGCCCATCAGGCTAAATGGACCAAAAAGAAGATGATCTCTGCCCCGGATCCATGGCCCAACTTCACATTGCAAATTTGTGATTTTTGTATGAAAATATCCCCCAAACCAAGTAACATTCATAAAGGGTGGACAACAATTTCGTTCATAAACTCGGGTTGAGATATAATGACTCGTTGATACTAGAATTAGGTACTTTGTAGCTCCATTTGCAACTCTTTTCTTTTCGTCGTACTTCTTCATCCGGGGGGAATGGTCTCCTTTCTGAGCGACTCAATGCTTCTTCCTTCTCCTCCTATCAAGAAATTTCGTGCTCGACGGATTTATAACTTATTAAGCTGCCATTCGTCTTCGATATGAGATAGCTGGTTCTCTAATTTTTCTCTGGTTCCTGTTTTGTGTGTCGAAGGGTTCGCTTGACTGGTCAATAGTGAATAGGATGTTTCCCGTAAGTATCCTTATTGGAGAGTCTAGCGATCGCACCGTCGAATAATTGAAAGATATATTGGTTTCGTTCCAACCAATTCAAGCTCAACTACTCAACTTTGCATTGGCATCAATATGTGTATGAGTCATCAATCCATAAGAATTATGTCACCCTACTAGATATTTATAGATCTCTATTGAGCACCTTTTAACCACTACAATCATCATCATCATGTGTATTATAAAAATTCAATACAAAAAAAAAAAAAACACGACATTAACAACTAATTAGTGGGATGCATCCATCCATGGCATTACATTTCACTATTTTTCAGTGTCATTTTCCCCTCTTGTACAATGTTCTTTTCCATTTGTATATTCTCATTCTAACGCGGTTTCTACTAATAAAACAATAGTTTAGCCTAAAAATTGATTGATTGATTTGATTTTGATGTGTTTGTGTGAGTGTGATTATTCATACTAGAGAAGTAAAGAACCCACTAAGTATTATGTTGTTTCTTTTGGTTTAGGGTTTAAGAAAGGTCAAAATCCCCCCTCTCTCTCTCAATTGGGGGTTGCTGATTCGTCCAACAGAGATTTTGGGGGAAAGCTATAATGCCCTCAAGTCCAATCAATTTGGAGGAGGCGACGCTTTGCCACAAATGTTGAGACACGTACTACAACTACAATTTGGCCTTTTTTTGTTTCTTCATCATTGTTGGCTTAATTCCCCTTCCTTTTTTTTTTTTACCTTTTTAATTTATCCAAAACAAAATGCTTGATTTGATGATTCGATAATGAGGGTGGTTAAGATTGTTTCACTTTTTGATAAAAAGATTGTTTCACTTTCATGATTAGAGATTGTGTGTGATTCATTGGTCTAGAGAGATAGATTGATCATCCAATAAGTGAGAGGCACACTTGGCGATGAGTTAATTTTCCCAATTTCTAATAAAGAAGGAAGAGGTAATTAATGTGTAAGATTATGATCAATTGTATTACATAAGCCTTCTATGACCTTTTTTTTTTAATTTATGTAACTTGATAGCAGACAACTTTGCATGAAGTGCACAAGGACGATAAGGTAAGTATATGAAACGTAAAAAAAAAAAAAAAGTTACAAAAATAGCATTTCGATGGTTACGCATGTTGTGTCTTGGATGATATGTTATAGTAGGCTAGCTAGACACCAATATATTCGATCAAATGCATCAGAATCAACTTGAACCTTTAAATTCCAAATTTACATCCATGCGAACCTCATTTTACGATACGATGCTTTTCTGCCCCTCTCTATTCTGCGAAACTCAAAAAAAAGATTGCATGTGAAATGGCTTTTGTAAGATGCTATTAGAAGGATTTGAACCTGTAACCTCCAGATTCAACACCAGTGATAGTACCACTAGACCAAACCTTTATTCGCATAAATTAACACTCTCATTGCTCCTCTCATTTTACTATACTCACATTTCTAATATCATCAATCTAATTAATCATTTTGCAATGGAACACTCATTTCATTGTTACCCCTATCCATAATCAAGTTTTTTTTTTTTGGGTACACTATCGACCGGAGAATTCCTCACTTGTATTCGTCCCTAAAATGTCGAAATCACAAAACCAACAACACTACTCCTAGACCAAACCTTCCCTCACCATACTCCGAAACTTCTCTCTTTAATGAGAGGAGAGCCAAAGCTCAAATGGTGGTTCTATCTTTAATTTCATGGGTGGTGGCCACTCCCACTTCCTTTTTCAGTTTGGTTAAAAATAACAAAAATGGATTCTTTGCCCTACAAAACAAACCTCCCTCCATTGCTAACCATGGAAAGACAAGTGTCGTCTGGGATTCCCCAAAATGGGACGCCTTTCCAGACCACACTGCCGCCTGCGCGCATGAACGAACGCCACCCTTTTCCTCTCTCTCTCGTTCCTCATTGGTCGAAGAACAGAAAATTGCAGAGATCGCCATTTATCTGTGCAGCCATTGGTTGAATTTGGTCTGCTCTTTCCCAGGCCCCTCTTTCTGCTCTCTATTCCTTATGCTTATGCAGATTGCACTGACCAGACTGAGTGAATGCTGTTGCAGCAGAAGAAGGACGGCAAAAGGAAAGTTAAAAAAAAGAGAGAGGGATAAAAAAGCAAAGGCATAGAGGAATAGCGAGGATAGGATCCATCTGCCCCTCTTCTTCTTGCTGCAATCTAAAGTTTTTCTGCTTTCAACTTCCCCCATTTCAGGCCCCTACAGTAACACAAACCAAGAAGCAAAACCCACCATCAATACTACAATGCTACTAATATGTTAGGGCTCATTTGGATTTGGTAGCTCGTGTCATTGACCACCTCGTTGCAACGATTCGAATGATTTAAAGATATTCATATGCATGGATTTTGATCACTTCCTTACGGGTTGGGACTGTTAATATTGATAGAAATTCGTAACTCATGAGTCGAGAGCTTATCATGCTTTGGGCGTAAAAAAAAAAAAGAGGTAATCATTTTGTTTAAACTGTAATTATCGAGTATGTATTTCATGCGAAGAAAAAATACAACAAAACAAAGGCAAACATACTTATGAAAATTCTTAGGTGCACTCACAAAATGGATTGCATACTGTGCACCCAACTCTAAAAGTAGCTGTTTTCCGGCGAGAAAACTTGCGTTGAATTGAGATGGATTGCACCTTTGACTTCTTTGGACAACGATCACTAAGACACGGCTCACACCTCTTCAAACAAAGTTCGAACGAGGGTGTTTGATTGATGGTTTCTGGGAACGATATCTAAATTAAATTACTTCTACTCCTATGGAGGTTCGGCGAGAGCTCCAAACTACGAACTACATCTATGGCTACATGATAGAGAAAAGGTAAAGGATAAACTTGACATGTGTGTCAGAGTGTTGGTTCTGGAACCTTCTGTCTCTGTCGACCCCTCTTCTTATTTATAGCCCCGAGGAGGTAACCGCCATAGAAAACCGCTTGTTGGATAACTGCTACAAAGAACCGCTCCTCCTTCTTCGGTAGAAAACCGCCTCTTGGATAACTCCCAAAAAGAACTGCTCCCTGCTTCCTCGGAGTGGTGGTTACTTCTTCAACCGCCTAGGTGCCTCTCTTGGAACCGTCGTGGGTTTGGAGTGTAGCTTGCCTCGCTGGTCTTGTACTGAATCTCGTGCCATGCTAGTCTTTTTGACGAGCATGTAGTGTCTCGCAAAGGGGGTCATGGTTCTCTTGTCTCATGGCCATGGACTTCTTACCCATGTCCATGGCCCACTTGGGACTTAGTCATTATTGATATAGTGCTCCACCACCACGCCCTTCTCATTCGTGTCCATGGCCACTCTTGTGAAGTGGCATGGACTTCTCAATCATGCACAAGGCCCCTCTCATGAGGCGGCATGACCTTTCCATACTTAGTATTTTCAATCATTTCTAACGCTTCTTGCTTCGCGTCTATGGCCATCACATGACACGGCCATGGACCTCTTAATCATGCACATGACCCTTCTCGTGAGGCGGCATGACCTTCTCAGACTTAGTATATTTTGGGTCATGAGGCGACATGGCCTCCTCATTTGCGGCCATGGACTTCTCAGTCATGTCTGTGGCCCTTCT